CGGCTCAAAGTACGGCTTGCAAATGTTTGATTTTCTTCAACACGATCTCGTTCTCTTCTCCCCCTGCCCGTTTGTCTCTGTCTGACCAGTCTAGGATCTCTCTAAATGCTCACCAGTATGCTCGTGGGTCATTCTTTCCTCGTCACGGGATCCAAGGTCAGGTCCTTGATTCAAGTTGTTCTGCCTGAGTAGTTGGCCAATTAGATTGTTTTGGTCGTCGACCCTCTGTGTGAGTTGATTAACTCGTGAGTTAAGGCCCACTTGATTGCGTAGGTCGGGAAGAGAGGTGTGAATCGGGCCCAATGGCATATGGGCTAGGGCTCCATTAGATGCATACATGGGTGCATACGTCAAGTGTGGTTGCAAAGGAGGGAGCACATGGATTTGCTCCAAGATCGGGGAATGGCCTGAGAAGGCATTGTGGTAGCCACGAATGGCAGCACCATCATAGGTGGCTGTGCCAGCGCCTAGGCCTTGCGATTGCATGATGGAGGAGGCCACAGGGCAATGGCTTGGTGCTGCTGCGAGTAGTGCGGCAATTCCAGCCGCTATTTGGTGGTCCATGGAGGTGATTCGTGGCTGCGAGGAGCTAGCCTCACAATTTGGTGGCTGTTCGGTTGCTACAACAGCTGTTTGGATCGGAAAAACTATCCTAAAGGCCATTTCCAATGGCTGCAAGGTTGTAGCGGCTATCCATAGCAGCTGTGAGGCTACCGAAGGTGGTTGGACAACATAGGCAGCCACTCGGGGAGCTGCTGGAACGCGTTGGCAGCCATGGGAGGCTGCTGCAAGTCGCTGGCAGCTGCTATCCCGTGCAGTTGTAGCGAGGTTTCCACCCCGAATCGGGGAGCTGCTGGAACGCGGTGGCAGCCATGGGAGGCTGCTGCAAGTCGCTGGCAGCCGCTATCCCGTGCAGTTGTAGCGAGGTTTCCACCCCGAAACCATGAGACAAGCCTGTCGTGGTGTTACTCTTCGTATGACTTGTATCAATCATGGTTGATTGAAACAAAGTGTGGAAAATGTATTTGGAGAACGCTTTGAGTCTTATTTCGCGCTCTCAATGAAAGCACCAATTTGTGGGAGTAATTTTCGTCCCTTAGAATATTTTATCAATAGATTCCCCTTTCTCCTTCCTCGAACTCCTTCTCCCTGCAAAATCAATCAGAGCAAAAAGACCACACCCAGGGGGTGTTGGCCGAAGGCCCTCCAATGCCTAAGTTAGTTCAATTGATTCATAGAGAAACAATAGTTTAACAAAGGGTACGGAGATGTATGTATGGTGTGAATCGGGTGGCCGGAGCCATGTGTGGTGACCGGAGCCTTGTGCAAGAGAGAGAGGGAGGTGGCAGCTATGAGGGAATTTCGGCAGTATTTTTAGAGTTTAAAATGGCTTACCTCATGCCTTGCATAGTCTCGTATTTATAGAGCCTCAGATGGCTAGGGTTTGGAGAAAAATAATCCTTGTTGGGAAAGGAATTATTTTTCCTAATTTTAGGAGATTTAAATCGATTAGGGATTTGATGAGAATTCCCAAATCAAATAATCGCCAAATGGAAAGAAATATTTGGCCTAGATTTTGTTAAAATTCAGTTCCCACAATATACATGTTACTTCTGAGAGATGAAATATGTGTAAATCTTTTCAACAGTGTCTCATACCTTGCAGTTTCTAATGCAATTTCTAATGCAGCCCCCATGGTACGATCATGACTTGCTTTATGTTTGGGAAAAATACCATTTTCGTCTTTCTATGAATAGGAATTTAGTGAAAAACCCAAAAGAAGCAAGCAGCTTATAAAAACACCCAAAAAAATTTCAAAATGATGAAAAAACCTTTATATTTAGCATCAAAGACATGTAAATCCTAGAGCTCTTTCCTTCACCAAAAACCAAAGCAGCATGTGAAGAAACCAAACCTGCATGCAAATATTTTGTCTTCAAGTAACCAGACCATGTGAAGACGTTGTCGCTTTGCATATGCCCAACAGTTATTACTACGCAACAACAGTATCAGAAATAGTGTTTTGTCTCTTTGTATATATATTTTAAGTGTATTTTGTCTTAAAAGGCAGAAGAATCGTTTGTTGGCATGTGATGTATGAAACTTCAGAGAGAGTTAGAGATGGTATCAGACAGAAAGGTTTCTCCTTTCATCCTTAGCCATTCTTAGTAGAGTCGGTGAAAATAGTGTATCTAGTTTGTAACTCCGAAGAGAGAAAGTACAATAACAATACCAGAGAAGAAAAAATCTCAGTACTTCCTCCAGTTTTCAAATCAATAAAACTTCTTTTGTTCATATACTTTCTCTTATCTTCTTCATACACTTTCTATCTTCGACCACTGTTAATACCACCAATCATTGTTAATATCTTCGACCACTGTTAATACCTGGTTATAACAGTTCCAGCAACAAAAGCAATTAAGTAAGTCTTTTTCCCTTTTATTTTCTTGGTTTTCTTAGCAGACTTCTTGTCCAAAACAGGGAAACACTTTTATAATTATGTTATTATCTTGCTAAACTGATGATCAATACTTTGTTTGAGCACTTGGTCATATTTTGTATTTGCCATAATGATAATTGGATGTCTGTCAGGGAAACACTTTTAGAAGAGGAGAAATTGATATTTCCATTATTTAGTAACTTTGGCATTGAAATTATTAAATGATGCGCGGACAAAACTGTGAAAATTGGAGATCAAGATTCCCAAGTTTAATTTCCACTAAAAAAACGCATCATTTCGCAATTTGTCATTTACAAAATTTGACATGCATAAATTCATACATTGAAATTATTAATTGTCAAAAATTTAAATGATGGGAATCTAAATTCCGTCATTTAAGAATTCTATGCAATTTTTAATTCCTTCATCCGAACGGAGGGCTCGTTTGGGACTGCTTCTCTAAGAAACACTTCTACTTATAAGCGCTTCTACCAAAAGCACTTTTATTATAAAGACGTTGAAATTTTCATAAGAAATCGAAGTGCTTCTTGGAAAAGCACTTGGGAGTGCTTCTTGAAGAAGCACATGACAGGTGCTTCTCCAGAAAGCGCTTCTATGACCCAAAAGTGCTTCTAAATTTTTCTGCCAAATGCTATCAGAAGCGCTTTTGATTGTCAGAAAGCACTTTAAACTGTTCCAGAAGCACTCCCAAACAGGTAGTGTTTTAAACTTTGTTATATCCAAATAAAATAATAATAAAATTAAATCTTATCAAACGTTTCTACTAATGCGTCCCTTCAACTTCACCAATATTATAACTCAGACTTGGAATTATAAATCTGTATATTCCTACACTTTTTGCTCCGTGCCCATGAAGCTGTGCGGAAAAGCTGTAACTCTCCAGATAGCCATCATTCCTCCTTTTCATGCGGAAAAGCTCTTGTTAATATGAGGTAATAATGGCTTTCTTTTGGGTAGGGTTCTTCTGGCTTCTTAATTTCTGGTTAAAAGTATTTTGATTTCCATTCACAAGGGGTTTTTAGTAATGATATTAACATCATCAAGACGTTTAAAAGTGACAATATATACATAAATAAAACGGAGATTCTTGTGTTTTCCTGAAAAAATGTAAACTAAAATCATAGAAATTTTCCAGCACAGTCAAATCTTTGCAAGGAAGTGTACAAAAACCCAAAGTAAATCAGAAAAATCAAAACTAGAAATTAAGGAGAGAGGAGAGAAGAAAGAAGTTCAACGTTGGAATCATATTATAATGAACTCTTCAACGAAAGTGATAAAAGGGAGAAGGAGAAGGTTAAAGAATTGTGGGGGTGGGGGGTGGGGAAGCTCTCTTTTCTCTTTTCTGAAAGAACTTCTCTAATTAACCTTCATTATTAGTTTTAGCCCACTCATTTCTTTCACAGAAATTGACCCAATAAAAGAAAGCCCAAGAGCTAAACACCAAAAGGCATTCTCAAGTCTCAAGTTCAACCACCCCTGCAATAAACACCACATGCCCTACACGAAGACTGATTAGATGTCCTACACGAAGAATGATTAGATGTCCAGATTTTATGGGCAGCCAAAGAAGAACAACTCGGCAAACACAAAGAACAAGAGTCACAAAGGGGCTTCTTTTTGTAAGCAATATTGCAAGACCCCAGGTGTAGAGGTAACTGCTTTTAACCATTTGACATACAAGCCCCTTACAATGGACTTCTTTATATAGTTTCAAGGCCTAGGATGGTTATATTAATTACATATGATCTTATAAAAATATAAATCAGGTACCAATTGAGTCTCATTTCCCATCAACTAAAACAAAACTTCCAGTGCCATCTTTAATAAAATAAGATGGAAAAAAGAGGACCTGGCAAAATAATACAGCAAATGATAGAAACTTACAAGCCAAGCAAAAGAGCACTCTAATTGAGTTCAGACGTGGCGTTTCTTCCCTACGTTCACAGTAAGAGTTCAATTCTTGTTCTCCCTCTCCCCTGAATACAATTAATAAATAAATAAATAAACATTTTGAAGAACCTTAGCAATTCATATTCCAGATTCCAAATAATGATGACCAGAAAGCAAAGTAAATTAAAACAAAACGAATTGTGCAGACTTCCATTAGTAAACAAGTTGTACACAAAATCAATCTAATGAGACTTTGAATTGGAGGACTCAACTTGAGGACATAATTTATTTATTTTTTTGGTACAAGCCATATTGGGGGAGGGAGGATTCGAACACGGGACCTCGAGTGTAGGGATAACTACTCTTAACCACTTGAGCTACAAGCCCCTTGCAGTTAAATCCTCAACTTAGTTTAGACTAGATCCGAAGAATCCCTCCAAACAATCCATTCATTTGTGTGTACATATTTAGAAAAAGAAAAACAGTTATTTATTAAGATTCTGCAAGTAATTTCATTTCTTCTGGTCTGCTTTATTGAGCACTGAAGTAAAAACTAGGAAATGAGACACTGAACTTAGAGAAGAAGAGCATCAACCTCTGATTGGGTGACTGAAACCAAAAAATGAATGAACCATTTACAGAAAATTGAAAGAGCATGAGAGAGCCAAAGAGGACAGGGGGAATACCTGGTAGTACGGACCTCACTTCACAATGCCTATTCTTTGTTGTCTGAGTATGGTTCAAACCCAGCCATTTAAAAAATAACACCACCTTGTCCTGTATTTTGCTTTAAGTTGGACCAACTATCCAGTCCAAGGTAAATCCAAACATAGGTTTAAACTTTAAAACATAAGATTGAATCATATGAGCAAAAAGCTCTCAACATTTTCTGCTTTTAAAATAACTTGAGTTTAATGTAGCATTCATCCCTAAGATTACATCTATATTGCTTTGTGTATGTGTTCGAGAAAGAGAGAGTACTAAGACATATATATACTCAAAAAGACTTCATATATGATATCATATGGTACTCATGTTTGAAGGCAAAAACCATACTAGGTAATGGGTAAAGCACAAACTATGGGAGAGCAAATAGCCCTTTCATAACAGTTTAAAAAGACACTTAATTAAAAACCTACATCAGAGGGCCAAAAACCACCGGGTGCATGTTTCTGTGTCTACAAAAGGAACAAAACAGAGACTAACCGACACTTTCAGTACTAGAGAAAAAATCATGTGCTTTTGAGCCTTCCCATCACTACATGTCATCTCTATACACGGCCTCATCTAACTCAGGTTAAGGGATGGATCGCATTCCCTGCACACTCACTCAATTCTTTCAGTTCTTTGGCACATTCCCCACCAGAAGGTGCAATATCAAGTTTGGGACTCTCTCCCTTAGATGAGGTCATAGTCTCAGGTGCTATCTGTGCAGAGTCAATACCAGTCTTCGTTTCTGCCTCCAATTTGCCAGCAGACACTTGGCCATCATCCTTCAATCTGTCATTTTCCTTGGACTGATCATCCTCCTCACCATTAATAACTTTAAGCTCTCCTAGCGTAGAACAATCTGCAGATTTACTGCCAGACTTCATACACTCAACAATGGATATGCCAGCTGAAACTCCACGTCTAGATATCCTTCAAAAGATCAAAAGAAGTTTCAGTTAAGGAGCAATAGCAGATAATAGTACATGAAAATATGAAAACCACCAACACCAAATATCTCTGCGGACTTGTTGGTTGAATGCTCATGTGGCATCCTCAGGGCAAAGGTCTAATAAACCTTTTCGAGGAAGAAAGTATACAAAGTACAAACCAACCTTTTCGAGGACAACCCAGCGTTTTCTTGTTTGGATGTCTCTGATTTTGTTCTCCGTTTTCTCTTTTGTGGTCTGATCAAAATGCACAACCGAATGGTACATAAGATAAAACATACATGTACATGGAAGCAGCAACAGAGTGCTAGACAAGGCAATTATGATATCAACCATTTAGGATGAAACAGTGATTTGTGAGCAATGTACACTCTTCACAGAACTTTGGGTGTATTGAATTTAAAGGTGTTCTTTTTTACATTTCTGGAGTCAACTAAATTAAGCCTTTTGCATTGATTCTTTGGTTAGGACATTAAAGTCTGTAATCAGTATGCAATGCGCATCTGCATCATTATATCAAACACAAGAAGGGAAAAAAATGACAAAAAAATTACAGTGACACAAAACTTTCAAAAGTCTCACAAGTAAGGGAGCCAATTAGTGTCATATAGTTGTGCTAAATATTGAAGAAAAACCTTGCCCGTGTAGTTGTGCAAACCCCAAAGAATCAAATCCAAGGATTTGTCCAGAACATAACAAGGGAACTTGAGGAATAAATACGACTAGAAGGATTGGTTTTGGTTCACAAAGGTGTCAAAAAGCAGCCCAAAAAAATTAATTTTGCAATGACCAGCTTTACTATAAAAGACAAACTTTTCAGAAGCACAAGCACAACTACTAAACTGAATTTTCTATGAACTACAATGATACTGTTTGAAAAAATAATGCTTACGTATCAGAAGAAGCTTCAGGTTTTGGCAGATTCTCCATTTGGACCTGTTCAAACTTCAGCAAAAATTACAGAGGATAATTAAATTTAGAATAAATTTAAAACAAATGAGTGAAAACTATAAACAAAAGAAAAGTACAATTTAAGTCACAATACATACATCTGGTAAAACATCATCGATCAGTTGCCAACGTTGCTTTTTGAGGTTTAGATTTTCTTCATCCCCATCAACATACAACACCTGTGAAAGAAGTCATTAAAGAACGGAACATTTAAAAACAACAATATGCATACCGGTCGAGAAAAAATATGAAAGGAACCATAATTGGGGTTAAATAGGAGATGCCAGGCTGGATGATCAGATGATGTGAAAAGTTGATGTTACTACAAAGAGTACAAGAGGGCCAAGGAGATCATGGTCTAGAACTCAAAGACACTGGTATTGGGAGATATTCAATCCAACAGTTTCAACTCACTTTACGATACACAACAGAAGACAAACAATATAATATGAAAACCATAAAATCAACTCACCAAGTGCTTCTTTTTAGCAGGGTCGTAAGAAGAAACAACACCTTCATAAAACCTGCACAGAAAGACATTTCATGCAAGAAAACAATCAATTCTGATTATTACTCCAGTGATACAGACGTTAGCGTAGACAAACAAAGAAAAACAGTGAACAAATGGCATGAAGAATTGAACACTAGCTGAAGAGGATTCAGGATCTTCTGGCAACTTGAGAAGCAAGAAATTTCAACAACGGGGTGTCTAGTGATGATCAGAACCAATAATAAAATAACGCATGGAAACCTCCTACAATTCATGTTAAACTAATGACTACTTGTATCGGGTCAACAACAGATTTTAATATGGTTTCTCAGCAAACAATACCAATCCAAAATACAGTAAACCCAAGAATCACAATCACCATTTTTACTCCCCAAACATGTTGTGAGTGATGGCAAACAAGCTATAGATAATAAACCCCTAAACCCAGCGTAGTTCATCGTGTCCACTCAAATCAACTAAATTTCAAGGAGCCTTTTAATTATAGCAAAAGTTTCTTTGTTATCTTATGTTTGCAAGTCCTAAAGGAACTAACTAGCAAAGGTAGGCAACATGAACACTATTGACGTTATATGAAAGTAAATGATGACTAATGAACAATAATATCATAGTATGTCATTTTCATTATCAGTTCTGCAATACTCACGCTTTGTCCATTGGCCACCAAACCCTTATTCTACTGCCAACCAATCGCTCATCAAGATCAGGCATGTGAGACGCCTGAAGGGGAAAAGTTAATTTACAAAATATGTATAAATAAATAAATAAATATATATTAAGATATCAATAAATTAATAGATAAAATAGGATGTGTGAGGTTAGAACTTAGAACAAACAGAAATATCATACCTGGAAGCAAGTTCTTAAAACAATATACAAAAAGTAGTAAGGACAATGTAATCAATTGCTCACTAACAGAAAATACACGTCTAGCATGTTGCACAGTTCCTAGATATATCAGGAGGAAAAGTGGACCCTTGGTATTCAATAAAGCATCCACCAACCGCTTAATTTAAGAGTAAATGAAGCAAGCAACATATCAATTGAAGCATTTTCATGATAAAGGAAGGTGATTATTTCCACATGTAGTAAAACACAAAACTTTAGCAACTTAGTAACAGAACACAGTAGTTAAGATGAAAGACTTGATGTTGTATTTCCACTTTTAGTGATAATTGATTAGCAAGGTTAAACAACTTTATTGAAAAGAATGTGTAACCATATCAGCCCAACAATGTAACTATTGGCACAAGAATAACTACAGGGAGACGTGTATAAGCTTAGAGGACTTTCCAAGTTCAGAAAATGTACACCACGGTCCCAAATCCAATGCAAGCTCCTTATTTTACTTCTCCAGTTACAACAAACATAAATACAAAGCAGGATACGTGTTAAGCTTGGAGGATTCCCAAGTTCGGAAAGTACACCACTGTCTCAAATCCAATGTGAGCTTCTTAAGATATTACATCTACAGTTTGCAACCTAAAGACATTATCCCTACCCCACTGTTTCTGTTTTTTTTTTCTTTTCAAAATATAATTAAGGTGCATAAGAAGAAAAAGAAAGGGGAAAAAGCATTTTTATAAGAAGCAATATTCTTACTAAAATGCGTTGGGTTAGTTCAATACTTTCATAGTCATCAATCAAAACAAAGCGTACAATTATTTACATAATGCCACCACTAAGCTCAAATTACCAAGGTTTTAGAACATATTTAAAATTCTGCCCTCATATAATAAAAATTCTGACTTCCGTGTTAGTTCATACTATTATTAGTCCATTATTGTTGGACTGATCATTATGACATATAAAGATTAAAAGGAGTGCATAAATAGCATTTTATTTTCCATATCTTCCAGCAAAAGAAGAGAAAGGGGAAGAGATGGAGAACACCTTTTAGCATGAGTCACTGTGATTTACACTTAGGTGTATCATGTCTGATTATTCGATAACAATATTAAGAACATAGTTCATTTGCACTGCTTCATCTACAGGACAATGCTAATAGGGTCTACTAAATTCAAATGTAAAGTTGGGCCAACACAGAATATGGACCACCCAAAGTTGTTTGTGTTTAATACATTACAACATGTAATGTAAGCAATATTTTCAACATTTATTAATTTTAATTATTCACTACAAATTATCCAGTGACAAAGCTTCCCAAGGAACAGTTGAGCTGAATGACCACAGAAAAAAGACCATTACCCACAGTATACTTCTAGTGAAAAGAAAGAAAAATGTTCAAAATATGATTGAGCACCAAACTATAACTGGCCAAATTGTAAACTGCAAATGAAATTAAAAATTCTTACCTCTTCCTTTTGAGTGGTACACTTCCTCTTCAGAACCACTTTATGTGTTCCTTCATTATCTTCACTCAACTTTGTCGCAGACTTAGAAATCTTCTGAAAAATGGATAGTTGGCACAACAGAAGAAAGAAAAAAGCCATTACAGGTGACAGCTTAAAATTCCAATATCTATTTATTTTTGCATCAACATTAAAGAAGTATTGAAGTACCTTACTACCAGATGCCTCGGTACTCTCCTTACCAGAAGTAGCATTCCCCCTACGTGTCTTAGTACCCGTTTGGACATATGATTGATCATTGGTACTCCCAGATGCAACATCCAAAGCTGACTGTTGCTGTGGTTTTTCATCGGGATCAAAGGGGACGGCAGCTTCCGTCTCGGTGACAACAGGTATGGAAGCAAGCAAGCACTCCTCGCTTGTCTTTTCAGCATGTTCTAGAGCTCTAGGATGCCCCTGTGCTTTTGCTTCAAAGGTACTGGTCTCCTTAAATCCCTGAGTCAGATGGGTATCTGTTTTTCGTGCAGTTCTCTCCTCAGCCTGAGTATTTGAGAACTCTCGCCTCACAGCAAAAAGGGGACCAGGGTTAGCTGAATGATCGGCCACAACCTGCTTTTTTGGTCGACCCCTTCTGCGTTGGGTTCCACCAAGAGGGTTATTTTGAGGAAGTGGAGAAGAAGCAACAATGTCCCCTTCAGGTTTAGGTTCTAAACCTGGTGGCTCAGTCACCTTTTCAAGTGTTAAATGCAAAGCAGCCTTTCCATGAAGCCGACCTTCAGCAGGTGAAGCATCAGATCCCTTGTCATTAGACTTTCTGCGTTTTTGAGTTTTTCTCCCAGAATGTATCCAAGAATGGTCATAGCCTTCTGCTGGATTCATCAAAGAATTTGGCTTCCTGCCTCTCTTTTTGGGAGCTGAGTATGGCTCAACTTCTGATTTGACAGCCTTCGGAGAGAATGAATTGTTAGGTTGAGCGTGGTCATGGCCTTCCTCTGAATTCTTTGAAGAATTCGGCTTCCGACCTCTCTTTTTGGGACCCGAGTATGGCTCAACTTCTGATTTGGTAGCCTTCAGCGAGCCTGAATTGTCCTGTTGAGCATTATCTCTTGAATCAATACACTTGGAATGTTTAGTAAGATGGCAATGCTGTAATTGTTTAGAAACTTTTTGTCTGACATTGTGTTCATCCCTTGTAGGAGCAGCCGCAGTTTTGCCAGCTTCTCTAGGATTAACAGCACCGGGGGCTGCAATTCCCCTCTTTCGATAAGCATCCAGTATCTCAGCGAATGAAAGTCCCTCTGTCACCTGTTTAACAGAGAAGTTTCTTTGTGGATGAGTGTAAGTTCCAATTAATGCAAAGGAGAGAGAGAGAGAGAGAGAGAGAGAGAGAGAGAGAGAGAGAGAGAGAGAGAGAGAGAGAGAGAGAGAGAGAGAGAGAGAGAGAGAGAGAGAGAGAGAGAGAGAGAGAGAGAGAGAGAGAGAGAGAGAGAGAGAGAGAGAGAGAGAGAGAGAGAGAGAGAGAGAGAGAGAGAGAGAGAGAGAGAGAGAGAGAGAGAGAGAGAGAGAGAGAGAGAGAGAGAGAGAGAGAGAGAGAGAGAGAGAGAGAGAGAGAGAGAGAGAGAGAGAGAGAGAGAGAGAAGAGAGGGAATATAAAATGAGCATAACAGTCACATACATGGGAATTGGATGCTTCATTCAAAGTCCTTTTCATCAACTTGTTTTCATTTTCCTGAAGCATGACATTGCAAATCGTTCAGAACTTCCAATCTATGTTTCTAATCACAAGCGTAGACAATGGACCCACTTCAACACACAAATACCTATGCACAAAGAAGTATATCATAAGCTATATCATACAACATTCCTCCTAAGATTTGTTTCTAACATGTCATGTAATTAAAGCTAAGCAGTACTATGCCAATTTCTCAAACAATCTACACAGTAGAATAACTAGGTAGACAGCACAGGATGGTTTTATTTCATTCAACAAGAATGTCAACAATTATTTTGTGTACTGTGTGCAATCAGAATCAACACAACCGGCTGACTATCATGTTGACTTTATTCAAATTTATGGTTTTACTCACTAGCATCATCAATTCAGTGTAATCATCTGTTTCTAGTAACCACGTTAGTCTCTATTTTCACTATGGTCCGACGATATATTTTTAATACTACTCAAACAGCAGACACCAGAGTGCACAAAATGGATCATGGGATACTGAACACTGGGAGACGACAAGCTTTCTAGTTCAAAAGGATTTGATGCTGTGATCACCTCAGAGAGAGAGAGCGAGAGAGAGAGAGAGAGAGAGAGAGAGAGAGAGAGA